CTGCTGGGAACAGAATTATTGTATGCCACCTCTGCGAAGGGGAGGAGGTCAGTCCAGTTTGTCTGTTGGTAGGAAACATAGCATCTGAGGTATTGCTCCACCATTTTGTTAGTGGATTCTGCAGCACCGTTGATGGCTGGATGAAAAGCAGATGATAAGTCTTGAGATGATCCAATTAATTTAAGAAAACTCCTCCAAAACTTTGCTGTGAACTGTACCCTCCTGTCCAAAATTATTCACTTAGGGGCGCCATGCAGTCGGTAGATATGTTTAAGGAACAATTTAGTCAGTCATTGGGTAGATGGGAGTCGTTCGCAGGCGATGAAATGAGCCTCCTTCGAGAACAGGTCTATCACAGTCCATATGACAGTATTTCCCCTACTTTCAGGTACGTCTACTATAAAGTCCATAGCTATTTCTTCCCATGGTTGAGAAGGGTTTACCACTGGCTGCAGTAACCCAGGGGTTTTCCCTGGCATTCTTTTCATTGTGGCACATACAGTACAACTTTTTACATAGTTTTCCACATCCCGTTTCAGCCCCAGCCACCAAAATTGCCGGCGGGTGAGGTGAAGAGTTTTTAAATATCCAAAGTGTCCAGCCTGTTTTACATCATGGCTGTGTTTGAGAGCATTAAGACAGAGAGCTTCAGGCAAATATAGTTTCCCCCCTTTGTAAGCCAAGCCATCCCTGCACATTAGGGAGGTTTGATTATCTTTGAACCATTGATCGGTGAGGAGCTCTTGTTTTATTTTCTTTACCCCACAGTCATCAGGATTAGGGACTCTGTGAGGCGTGAGTTGAGCGGCCGTTTGTGGACTGGAGATAATTGCCTCATTAACCTCTTGGCGTTCGCTTTTGTACTGGGGCAATCTCGATAGCGCATCAGCTAGGAAGTTTTTTCCTCCCAGTAGGTACTTTAGAGTGAAGTTGAAATGGTTAAAGTACTGTGACCACCGTACTTGCTTTGGAGACAATTTGCGGGGAGTTTTCAGTGCCTCTAGGTTTTTGTGATCTGTCCTTATTTCAAAAGGCACCTTGCTCCCTTCTAGTGTCACCAGTTTAACAGCCCCCACCTAATTGCGAAGGCCTCTTTCTCCCAGATTGCCTATCTCCGCTCGCTTTCAGTAAATTTTTTAGAGGTGTAGGTGCAGAGTTGCAGGACCCCACTTTTGTTCATTTGCAGTAATACAACTCCAACTGCCACATCGCTGGCATCGGCTTAAATTACAAAGGGCTCCCCTGGGAAGGGGTGTTTTAGGACTGGTTCAGCAGCAAATAGTCTCTTTAAGTTCTCAAAAGCTGTTTGACAGCCCATTGTCCATGCTAGTGGTTGGCTCGATCACACTTCCTTCCTTTTTTGCCTGTTTTGAGTAGTTTTGTAAGGGGTAGGGCAATCTTGGCAAAAGAGGGGATGAATTGACGACAGAAGCAAAACCTAGAAAGCTCTGGAGCTGTTTGCGACTTTTGGGGGGCTGCCATTCGATTATAGCTTTCACCTTGGCTGGATCCATTTCAATGCCCTCATTGGAAATTCTGTAGCCAAGATAATCTAATCAGTCTGGTGAAATTCACATTTTGACAATTTGACATAAAGCTTGGCACTCAATAGTTACTTTAACACCTCTCTCACCAGTTTTATGTGATCAGTCATGTTCGTGCTATATATCAGGATATCGTCAAGATACACCAGAACCCCTTTGTACAAGTGATCATGTAGGACCTCATTAATCAACTGCATGAATACAGCTAGGGCCCCCTCTAGTCCAAATGGCATGACTTTGAATTGGGGCAGTTGAAGGCAGTTTTCCATTCGTCTCCCTCCTTTATTCTCACCTGGTAATATGCCTCTCTCAGGTCTAATTTAGTGAAGACATTCCCCTTAGTCAGGTGGGTTAATAAGTCCTTTAGGAGGGGGAGGAGGTATTTGTTTTCCACATTCAACAGCATTGAGACCCTTATAGTCTACGCAGAGATGAAGAGACCCATCTTTTTTCTCTTTGAACAACACAGGGGCTCCCACGGTAGATTTGGCCTGTTCAATGAACCCCCTCGCTAGGTTTTTGTTCACGTATCGCTGCATCTCTTCCATTTCAAGGGGGGACATAGCGTACATTCTTGGGCATGGGAGTTTGACTCCTGGCACCAGTTCGATAGAGCAGTCATTGGGTCAGTGAGGGGGCAGGGCATTGCATTCTTTTTTACTAAATGCCTCCGCTAGGTCCCGGTATGCATTGGGGATGAGTGTTTTGCCTGGTGGCGGTGAGGCAGCCATGTGCACTCACTCATTGGGTAGCCTAAGGTATCCTGCAACGTCAGTCGAATCAGTGGGAGGATTAGGCCCTATAGGTAGTCTCACAGTTCTCATTCCTTTCTCCCACCAATAAATGGCTTCCATTTGTCCAACCAGGCTAGCCCTAGGATCAGAGTGTTATTTTTGGAGCCACCAGGAAGCGAATAAACTCCCAGTGCCCATCTATTTCTAGGCGTAGGGGCTCAGTTAATTGCGTGACAAGAGTCCCTCCCATCAGGGAGCCATCGGCTTCCTCGAACCTCACAGGCTTGGAAAACAGTTTGCCTGTATACCCAATTTCATGGCAAATGGCAAGCTAATGATGCAATGGGAGCATCCATAATCGATTAGCACGTTTAAGTCTATTTGTGCCCCCGACTTAGGGATTATAAGTTTGACGTGTTGACTCACCATCAGGTCATTCTCTCCTTCGCCGTCGCTGTCAAAGGAGGGTACAGCAGGTGCAGGTCCACCCAGACTCTTGATGTCCTCCTGTGTGTGGGGTGTAATCTGGGCAACAGGTTCCTGTGTCACCCAGTTGGATCTCTCTCTCATCAGCCGCTGAGCAGGTTTCCTTCTTGCCGTTGGTTCAAGTCTGCTCTGTACCCGGGGGTAGGACTGGACAGTTTGCTGCTCTATGTCTCTCCTGTCTGCAACGGAAACACTTAATTGATGGGCCTGCAGGTGGCTTGGGTCTCTCAGCCATTGCAGTAGTTGGAGGTTTTCGTGGGGTGATGGCTGTTCGGGTTGCTCTGGCTGCTGCTCGGATTCAGGTGGGGGAGGCTTCTTATAGTGGGCAAGCTGAATGTCTAGCTTCACTGTCTGGTACCATTCTTGCAGCTGGTCAGGTACTGCTCGATAGATGCAAGCCTGAGATAGGTGGTCATCCAATCCCTCTATTCGATCTGCTAACTTGCGAAATTCTCCAGGGCAGGCCTGCCAGCTTGTTTTATTTTGTGAATTTGTTCTCTTGCCTTGAGGTCAAGAGATGGGTCCTCAAATCTTTCTCTCAGTCCTAGGAGGAAGAGGTGGGGATCCTCCAATTCTGGGGCTTGCTGTTGGAATATTCATGAACAGGAAGAGTCATGTGGTAACTCAATCAGCCAATATGAAGAAAGTGCTACTGAGTCTGTGCAAAAAGAGTATTGAGTTAGGAGCTGGATTTCCAGTCTCAGTTTTGTCTCTGGTCTGTCTCTGTAAGAAGTCTTCATTAAGCTATGTTGCTGTAAAGAAGAATGGTATTGTAAATATTTTTATATAAATATAAAGTTATTTGAATCAGCTAAATGCAGTCAACTGTGAGAGCTTCTGATTTATTTTTCATCAATGGAGAAATTAAAATTCTCTAACACTTGCTCATTATATAAATTGTTCAGTCATACAGATACTTCTCCCTGTAGGCCGGACACAATCACATCGACCAAGGCCCCTCGGTCCGGATAGAGATAGGCCCAGCAATTCAAATGAGAGTGTACTTGGTTGAAGAAAAAAATCAGCTTCTCTGGGTCCCCATCGAAGGTTACTCCGAAAAGTGATGCAATTATAGGCTGTTGGGGCCCCCACTGTGGCTGTTGCTGCTGGCCCCATCCTGGCTGCAGATTTATGCTCAGGGGTTGCACTTTTGGGGGCTGTGGCCAATCTCCTTCCTGTGGTTGTTCTCCCACCAGCTGCTGATCTGGCTTCTGCACCAAGGTGTTGCAAGGCCTCTATTAGCTGTGGCAAGCTCAGAGGTTGCTGATCATGTACCTGCTGGGGAAGCCAATCTCCCCATTGCTGCAGAGGCCTCAGCGTGGGATTCACTCTCTCTTCAGGGCTGGAGTCCCTGGCAGGGGAAGACAGGATCTGAAAGGATGTCTGATCTACAGTGGAAGGGCTGCAGGCTCCTCTCTGCAGGAATTGATTTTTGCTTCTCACCTCTGGGTTTTGAAATCTTTCCAGCCACTCACCCAACATTTGAGTGGCAGGCAATTCATTAGCTCCCCACCATTCTGCTTTTAAAGTCTTTGAAGGTGGCAAAGTTGTTTCGAAGTCTCCGCTGGGCTTATCCCGGTCTGATGACCAAATCAGCTCTCCTAATTGCTTTGGTCTTGCTCCCAGCTGGAAGATCTGCCAGAGTTCCTTCCCCCCCGGCTTGCTGGCTGTCACTCCCCCCCGGGGAAGCTGCTGCTGCCAGGGTACTGACCTTAGGCAATCTTTCTTCTTCCATAATGAGATCTTCCCCGAATCTTCGTCAGCTCGGGACCCCATAAATGGTTTGAAAAGTTTGTTGATCTTGGCATGATGTCATAGTTCCGACTAATGAAACACTTCAAAGAACTTCCAGGCATTGTTTATCCTAGAAAGCCTTTAGTACAGTGTAACAGAGTGTCAGCACAACATGGATGGATGCCAAGATCTGAATTTCCCTTCCTTTGCACATAACATTCCAGGCTATTCTCCACCCCTATTTTGCTGTCATGATTCACATTTTCCAATCAACCTGGAGGGCAAAAATTCACTTCTGTTCCCTTCCCACGTGCAGTCCTTATCTTTCTCCCCCCCTCACCATCATCTGAATTAACACTAAAAACACCAGACAGTTCTGCATATCTTGTCAAAGCAATAATATCCAATATTAGCAGTGTTGACAGCTTGTTTATTAAAACTCATCACATATTGAATAAGCCCAATCACTGTTACCAAACCTATGTGTGTGTGGGGGGGGGGAATGGAGAGAGAAACAGAGTGATTGTTTAATTTACTGTCTGGACTACCTTGAAGGATTGACAAGCATCCCAGAAGAAGGTAATGGCAAACCACTTCCACAATGTAGCTAAAGAAAATTCACCAGCATCTCTGATTAGCTCAAAGATATCAAAGAGAAGAGAAAGTAGTAATTAAAATGCATGTGTGATGGTATGCAGGGAATAATCTTGGGAGACAGGAGGGGTAGCTGAATATTGGACAACCATCATTAAAACATGACTTGGCCCTTAATGTGCTTCTAATCTGGACTACATTGCAGAGATCTTGATCTGTGTGTGGGGGGGGGGTCTGTATGTCTGTGTGTGTGTAAGTGAGACCTGGAATAGATTCCTTTTATGTTTTCTTGTAATATTTCTTTGGTTTTTCCTATTACAAAATAGAGCCATTGGACTATAGAATTGATGCTGCCCTATTAAAATCTGTTTAGCTCATGATGCATAGAAAAGCTGTTGGATTACATTAGAAGCCAAACATGTATTGGGGGGGAATGATTTAATGCTATCAGTTGCTATTAATTACAAAAAACCCAGGACTTTTCAGGAAGAAAAGAAAGCATTTAGTGCAGTTTTTACAATAAAAAGTGGAATAGCTTTTACATACAATTTACTACTGTAACAATTCAGACACCAAAATCAGAAATAGAAACAGTATTCTGGAAAGCTGAAATAATAAATTCCGTACTATTTAGTATACTGGGAAGATAGTTTCTTAGAGCACAAAATTACATCTAGCAGATTTCCCGTTATTTTAATCTGCACATTACTAAATCCATGTTCTTCCAATAACTGTTTGTATTCCAAGGTACTCCTTTCCTTGCCTTCTGTCATACTGAGAGACTGGAAAACAGCTCTAGCAGGGTTTATTCGCTTTTCATCAAGCAAAATCTCTGCTATTAGCAATGCAACTCCTATATTAAAAACAAAAACAAAAATTTAGTAACATATGTCTAGTCTTCTATGTTTTTCCTCCTACAGGAAGCTTTTCCTGTTAAAAGGAAAACAGGATTATATTTTTTTTAAAGAACAAACCACTGATATTTTAAAACAAGTACAGACAACGTGCAGTCCAGTTCTCCAATCCCATTTTGTGGCCTCCCACAGCATCCACAAATTGTACCATAGAATTCTTCAACAAAGCATTGAAAATAAGCACTTGTAAACAGTCCCAGAGATTAAATTAGCCCCTGCCACATAACTGCAATCTGGAAATGTGGACAATAATATCCTCCTGCTTTTAAATATAAACAATTCAGAACACAAACATCTGAAAAAGAAAAGTTTGCCTCTTCCTTTGTAAGTTCATGGCTGTTTTGATTCTGACATCTTTTCTTATTGAGATCAAGATACTAAGAAGGAATTTAAAACTCTTTTCTTGCAGGACTAATGAAGAGGGTTTTGATAAAAAAAATTCTGAAATAGTTTTCACAATCTTTTTCCTTCTAGGTATCTTGAAATTTCAACATTTTTCAGTTTCAGGTAAGAATATTAGTTTCAGCAAGAATTATAATGTTCTTACAATATTTATTTTGAATGTTACCTTTATCTGCTAAATTATGGGTTTTAGTCAAACAGTAATTAGTTGTACCCTTAATCCTTAGAGAAAAAAAGTTTGTGAAGTGTTTTAAGTAAAATACTTTGAAGTTAGGATTAGCTATGATTCAGATTGTCTTAATATCCTTAATTTTCAAATCTTGTTTAACTGAATGAAAAACATCATTCATACAGTTAAGTAAATGTAAATCAATATCGGGGGAGGGGGATTTAAACTCTTACCTTGCTTTGAAACAGCAGAGAGTTTGTTTAATAGTAGAGAAATCTTTTCCTCAGAGCAATGATGTAAAACCCTTGAAAGAATATAAAGGTCTGCTTCTGGAAGATTATCTTTGAAAATATCACCTATTGGAAAATATATTTTCATTAGTTCCCCAAAAAGTGACTACATTTTCAGCTGAACAGCTTCATAAATAAACTGAAACATGAGATATAAATAAATTAAAATAAATAAATAAGCAAGTTTCAAATGTGTGCAGAACATTTATTGGAGGGAAGAATGAAAAAGTTCACTCTTATAATATTTAAAAAAAACTCAGGCCTACATTTAACATAATGTGCATAGATTCAAAATATAGTAGTCAGATTGTATCAATTTTATGTAATTTAGCATTTCAAATTTTAACATTTTGCCATGAATTTCTGGATGTGAAAAATTATGCTAGCAACCATTAAAATAAAAACTATGAAGCATATTTCTGTCAATATTTTCATTAGAGATGTTGTTAGAATTCAGTTAGCTTCATTTGCAATCACATACATCAACATTTTACTGCAGAGATAATTGAAATTTTATTACGATCTTATTATCTTATTTATGCACTATTACTAAGCCAAGTCTATCTGTTTGCAGAACAGGTCACTAATCCACATAAAATTAGCTCATAGGTTTTGGATTGCAAGTGCCCTTAGTTTGGTCTACAACTGGCAGAAACACCTTTACCTGATACAAAGGATACTTCACAAGCATTTTGTCTTGAAAGTTGACAGCTGGTGACATCTGTAATAACTTCAGGAAGATCAAGGACAATGACTTGCATTTCTGGGTAGATCTGGACTAGATCATCACCTAAAGCTCCAGTGCAACCTGCAGAGAGAATACAGAAATTTATTTTAGTGCTCTATGTTATTGTGTTATGTACAAATGGGAAAGTAGAAGTTCAGATATGTTGTGTTTATAAGATCTCCCATAGAATTTATACATCTACACCCCATTTTTATTGGTTGGATGGAAGAATAACGTATTGTTCAGCTTTTCAGGAACTATTCAAATTCTGCAGTTGGCATAAAATTATGCTAGTGTTATATCTGTTGTCCTTATACTGATCCTAATCCATCTGTTTCTATTCCCAATTACTTGATTTCACTCCTAGTTAAAAGTGACAAACAAATTTTATATACCTTGAAAGGACACTAGTTTAATACTAGTACAGTTAAGGATAACTTAAACTTTTCTCCCTGGGGACTAAGTGAAATTAATATTATGGGAACATGATTGAAAAAATCCTGCCAGGGCATGATACAATAGCATTTGCTGAACAAAATGTATGTAATTTTGAACATTTAAGTTAAAGGAGGCAGAGATACAAAGACATAAACCTAAAACTGTGTTTTGACTGAACATTATTTCTCTGAATAAAAAAAAATCCTGTATTTAACAAAGCTATCCATCTAATCACAACTGTACTTTCGAATATTTTCTGGCAATATTTAGGGGTAATAATGTTATAACATATACCTCCCAAATCACATACAACTTTGAATTGTGAAAGATCAAAAGCTGTGCTTATGTCTCTTGCTGTCACTTTGGAACTGCTGTGCATGGCTCTCACAAAACATTGCTTCAGTTCTGTAGATTGACAGTGGAAATCCTTAAAAAAGAAAGTGAGATCACAAAACAAGTAGATAAACAAATGCTAAAATGCAGATCTTGAAAAAAGACCTAAAACAGTTTGGTTTCTCTTCCCTGTTTAACTTATAAAGGAATGACAGAATTATATAACCCAAATAAATTACATTGCTTAAAATTACAGAATATTTAATTAAAGCATTTTAGAATATCCTACATACAAAAAAAAATCTGTTCTCTGAATCTCAGTAATAAAAGTTAGTGAATTTGGCATGAAAAATATCAGATAAATAAAATAGAGATACAATACACTATTTTAATGACTGGAAGCAGGGCACAATAACTATTTTAAGATCTTATCTTACACCAAAATAAGTATTTTAAGATGTTATCTTGTGATCAACATCCAACCAATCAAAGATATGAATTAGGCAGATGTACATATTTTCCAGCAGGATCATAATTGTGCAATGTCCTTGAGGAAGTAATCTTGTAGACCAACCCCACAGAACCACTCCAGCTAAGCAGAAGACCGGACATTGTCCACTTGTACACCTGTCGAATGCTACTCGTAAGGAAACCACAAGACAGGTATCCTGAAAGTTTCAATGCCAAGAGTTGAAGAGAACCATTATGCTCCCAACTGTGATAGAATCTTTTAAGGACACTGAATTTGCTCACTCACTTTCAAATTCTCTTTTGGAAATAACCTATTCAAATTCTATCTTAAAGATATTAGAAATCTTCAAAATGAGAAGTTTGAAAAGCCATTTAGTGGGTTTACTTTTCTTCTTTAAAAAACTGACTATAAGCTTAAGAACAAAGAATTAGAAATAAACAGCAAAGAGCTAAGATGTGATTTAAGAAAGTTATAAACGAATTAAGGGATCAGACAAACTTGAAATAATGGAGTATTATGACTTGTTATAAATTTGGAAATAATTATATAGAACCGTGGCGGCGAACCTATGGCACATGTGCCATGGGTGGCACGCAGAGCCCTCTCTGTGGGCACGTGCGCTGTTGCCCCAGTCCTAGGCCATCAGCTGAGTTTTATAAAACCTTTTCACTTTAGGCCTCCACTGCCGTGCAAAAAAAAAAAAAAAAGTTCCAACTTTTTTCAATCATTTTCAACTTCTCGTGGGAAAAAAAAAAGATCTCGCAAAGTTGGAATTGACTGAACGTTTTAGTCCCACCCAGTCTGCCGTTACCACGGCAGCCACACCCACCCAATGGGCCATGCCCACCCAATTGGCCACACCTACCCAATGGGCCACACCCACCCGGCACCCGACGATACATAAGTGGGTTTTGGGTTGCAGTTTGGGCACTCAGTCTCTAAAAGGTTCGCCATCACTGGTATAGAACAACACATTCATGGGAACCAAACTGCTTAGTCTACCTTAAGTGAAATTAGCAACTTGAGACTTTCAGAAACTGAACACTAGAGGGAGATATAGGTTCCTTGCAGAAAGAGAAAAGGAATAAAAAGTGAAAAACTATTTTTAGTCAGCATTGAAACTTGCAAAATGACAGAAAATGCTTGACATTGACATTGCAAAATACTTTTTAAAAAATGAGTCAAAAATAGCAGCTTCATGTCAGTAATAAATAAACTATGTCTAAAGATTAAAGAAGAAAATACTATTGCATAAGAGAATATTTTGGAAGATTGACAAGATAAAGATGAAACAAATTTTGTTTGATGCAGAAATATCAGGACATAAAGAATTTGCAAAAGAACTGGAAAACAAAGTTAGGACCTTAAAAAGAAAAAAAAACAAGTAAAGTAGAAATTTAAATAAGAAATTGACCTCAATAAGGACTTTTTACTGAACTTACAAAAGAAGTTGGTTAAAGTTTTGGAAGAAATTTTTAGATAGAAAAAGGAAGGGAGATCAAATCCTACAACTTCTGAGTGAACTAAAGATTAAGACTGTTAAAATCAGAAGAAAAGAGTACAAAGCTGGTTGGTTTGATCAAGTTTAAAATAAGACATGTTTGTATAAATCTGGGATCTCTTTTTTCTGACCCTAGGACTGAAATGTTAATGATTTACAGATTTATGTATGGGTAAAGAATAGGTTATGGGAAAAAGAGATATTTGCATGTAATGTTATAGGGAGTTATGAATTATTCAGTTTGTTTGTACTTGTGATTAAGACGGAAAACGATTTTTTTCTTTTTCCCTTTTTCTGTATGTTTTATTCTTTTTATTTTTATTTTATTTTACTACTATTAAAAAATAGAAGTTGAAAGAAAAATAAAAATATGATAAAATATGTCTAGTAAGCTTTATTTTTATTTTTAAGTTCTTTTTTTTTTAAAAAAGTGTTCACCTTGATTAAAAAGTAACTAGATTCTTCCCTACCTGAAACAAATCATTCACTTTCTTCCCAAATATATGATGGATCTGTGAAGTTCCTTCTTTAACTGCTAGCTCCAAATGTGTAAACAAAGGCCACAGGTGGTCATTACAATGAAGAATGTAGTCATAAAGTGAATATTCACTATTGGATACCAGGCATAGATTTGTCAATTCTGCATTACTGTAACCTTTAAAGACATTTTTTAAAAATTACAAATACAAATTACAAACACATATTTTTAAAAAATAAAATTTCAGCACCAAATTCCAGAAATTTATTTATTATTCTTTCAGATTAAGTACTATGACTGCATGTAATTAAACAATTATCTTTGCTTATTAAATTTTGCACATCTCCTTCCATAAAAACACTAAATAAAATTTTAAAAAATTCTAAAATGTATGGTTCTTTAAAATGGAGGGATCATAAACAGTTTGGGTACAGTAGGCTGCAGATACCAACAAAAAAATATTCAGGAAGTGGCAATGATTTTTCCCCGAAGGACAGAGCTAGTTTTCCTACTGCACAATCCTAAAAAGCTAAGCATCCTTTATAAATTTGCTAATACCCTAAAAATGGATAATTTAAAATTCGAAGACAAGTAACATTTGAGAAAAAACATTTTAAAACAGAAAGCTGTTTTCATGCCTCAGAATGAAGGCTGCCTCCCTCCCAGCATTTTAAGGGGAGATAGAAACCAGGCAATTAATTCAACATCACAACTGTGATGTTGTGCTAGGGTGAGCTTCTTCTAAGGCCATTCTGAGTTCATTTTTCTCCAGATGTACCTTTTTTTCTAAATTATGTATAGATTTACTCTTATTATTCTAATTACATTTGGATGACATTAGGATGTCATGTACTCAACTTATTCTATATTTTGCTTCCAGAGTAATTTTAGAACAAAATATGACCTTGATTATTCTTTTCCAACAGACCAAGAGATGCACAAGCATCAAATAATCTTTCTGTTCCACGTAGGGAAGTATTAAGTTGATTTGCCGCATCTTCTGTGGTCAGAGTGTCCCTATCTTTAAGAAGATCAAATACTTTCAGCTTACATGCCACAAACAAAACCTGCAGATATAAGATAAATATTTTAAATTTTGAATTCCACAGCTAAAATCATTTGTGGATGACAAATCAAAGAAATGCTACAGTCCATTTTGCATAATAAAACTTAAATACATATGGTCAAATAACAAATGTATCACCTTTGAGGCTTTAAAACCATCCAGAAGATGTGTAAGTTTTGAGAGGCACTGTGTTACATTTCTTGGTACTCTATTTTGAATTTCCATAGGTATCTTATAACTGCAATTGCTTTCTTTGCATTTTCCCAATTCCACAAGTCCACCATTTGTTAGCCTTTTGGCATTTTCCATTTTTGTATTATCTGAAGGATCACAATCTCCGTCACTTAGAATCTCAAAAGTCTCCACTGAAGGAATAGAGTCATATTTTATATGATGGATGGTGTGCTTTGGGGGTGGATAATACAGTTCAGCTAACTGTTTACAAAAATGATTTAAAGGAAACCCAACCACATTCAGGAAATCTCCATGAACGTATTCCACCAACATTCCCCCGAGAGCTTGGATCCCATATCCACCAGCTTTGTCCCTGAAGAAAAAAATGCATGTACATGAACACACGCAAACATACAAGCATGAATTTAAAATATTAGTATTTAACTTTTTAAATAAAAATCCATAAAAACTCCTACTAGTTAATAAATTAATAAAATGTATGTCAAAAACAAAATAGCCAGATGTTAAAGCTTAAGAGACTCAGTTAAGGACCTCTTTAGATTCCTTTTTTTTTTTTAATTGAAAATTTTTAAATTTTACAAAACAATACGGTTCCCTTCCCCAAGCCCCCCCAACCCTCCCATACCTCCCCCGACCTTTCCAGAGCTGAATACAGGCTTAATTAATATTTTTTCAAAAAGTCTTAAAACAAATATAAACCATAAACAAATCTAAATACATTAATTAAACAAATTGTAAACTAATTAACAATAATATATGTATAAAAAAACAAAAATACAAGAAAATACAAGAAAATAGGAAGAAAGAAAAAGGAAAAAAGTCTATAAAATATCTTAAATTTTAAGTATAAGTTATTGAAAAGCTAAATAATATTTTTTATATCCAACTTATATTGTATAAAGTCTATTCATTTTTTCCATACCAAAAAATACTTCTCTTGCGATTGGTCTTTCAAGAAAGCCGAAATCTTTGCCATTTCCGCCAAATAAGAAACTTTAAAAAACCACTCTTGCAAGGTAGGCAAAGATTCCTTCTTCCAACATTGCCCTACTAACAACCTTGCCGCTGTGATTAAATTTAACATCAATATAGTCTCTTTAGTATCACAATCAGAAACAATACCTAACAAAAACAGTTGTGGGGTAAATTTTACCCTTCTTCTAAAAATTCTTTGAATATTCCACCATATCTTAATCCAAAAAGCTTTTATATTTTTGCATGACCACCAGATATGATAATAAGTAGTATCCAAACATCCACATCTCCAACATTTAGGCTGTAAGTCAGGATACATACGAGACATTTTTTGTGGATCAAGGTGCCATCTATAAAACATTTTGTAAAAAATTTCCCTTAAATTTTGGGCTTGTGTAAATTTAACATTTCTCACACAAATAATTTCCCAAGTATCTAATAGAACCGGTTCATCAAAATTTTGTGCCCATTTGACCATACATTCTTTAACTAATTCTACTTCTGAATCCAATTCTACTAACACCCCATACATTCTCTTAATATGGGTTCGTCTTTGATCTTTTATTTGTTTTAATAAATTCTCATCTTCTCTAAGCAAACCCACGTTATGATCTATCTTCCACCTCTCCACTATTTGTCTATAATGAAACCATGAGTAAATAATATTTTCTTGTATTAAATCTTCCAAAGATTTTAATTGCCAATTTTTACCATCCCATCTAAGTAGTTGTGCATAAGAAACGCTATCCATCTTGACTCCTCTCCTTATCCCTTCTATCGCATGCCCCGGTATAGCCCATAGTGGAATTTTAAAATCACTTCTATAATATTTCCTCCAAACCCGAAGTAAAGAAATCCTTATAATATGAGATTTAAAGACCCTATCAACCTTTTTATTAAAAATTAAATAGGCATGCCATCCAAAAAGTAAATCCCAATCCTCTAAGAGGAGTATTTCTACATTTGTTAAATTAACCCAATCACTTATTAATGTTAAAACCACAGCAACATAATACAATTTCAAATTCGGTACCTTGAGTCCACCTTTAGATTCCTTTTTAAGAACAAGCTAATGATATAACACCATACTTCAAAACATTTTTTCCCTCGGAACAGAAATAAAAAGTGATTTAAATTGGTAATACTGTAATAGCAATTTTGAAACATAAGAAATAATCAATGAATTTCACGCTCACTTTTTTGCCATTCCCAGCTGATTTATAAACTTCACCATGTATATTAGTTAATATAGTTTCCTAAAATGGTACTACTGATAATCTCAGAGATAAAATGAAAAATTTATTATGCTATTTATATGATATTTCATATACTTCAGTGCCATTGATATTTATTTACATTATGAAGTTGAATTTCCTAATTTACAAGTTTCTAGAACAATACAATGAAGCTTATATTGCACTTACATTGGCTCACCGCTGTGGATATACTCCCACAGAAGTTCCTCAGAGAGTTCAGCAAATTTGACTTTTGTTTCTTCAAAGAACTCAGTGACTTCAGTGTCTAGATAATCATCTAAAAATGCAGAAGTATATATTGGATAATAACATCAAGATGAGCTACTTTCAGAAGACTTACTCCTGGTCTTCACCACCTGTAGTCCATAAAGCAAGTTGCTGTGAGCATTTTGAAAAAGCTTTCAAGAAGCTTGAAGCAGTATATCTGCACTGAAATGGACATTTCATCAAATTTCACATTTAAAATGTTTTAAAACATATTGTTCCATCAACTTAATTTGTTGGAAATAGTTTCATAATTTCTCTGGCTTTTCCAGTCAATAATGTCTTATCATTATTAACAGCACAGAACTATTATAATTTGGAAGACAGCAGCAAAGCATAATAAACCAAATTGCTATAATACAGAAACATGTTGCAGCAAAAAAAAAAAAAAAATCATTAAGCATTCAAAGTTATTGTGTCCATCTTTCCCAAATATCTATAATTATCTGAAAATCTAACCATACAGTAACTAGAAATGTTCTCAATGCTGAAACTTGTAGGTGGAATCAGTACATAAAAATTATCAGGTTAAGGCAAAATCAGTAGGTTTAATGCCTTACTTGGCATAAAGGATCTGGAAAGTATGTGACACCCACTTCTCTTAGAACAGTTTCTAGACACCAGTCCAAAATACTTTTCAAGTTGACTCAAGTATACAATCTTAAGTCCAAAGATTCCTGAAAATTTAAATATTACATATTCTGACTACAAGAAATTCAGCATAATAAATCATGAAAAAATCAATCAAAGGTAAAATATAGTTCACCTTAAGTGTAAAGAGAGCCCTGTGGTGGCATAGTGGTGAGAATGCAGTATAATTGCAGTATAATTCTGCTGACTGCAAGCAGTTTGATTCTCACTGGCTCAAGGTTGACTCATCCTTCCAGCCTTCCGAGGTTGATAAAATGAGGACCCAGATTGTTGGGGCAATATGCAGACTCTGTAAACTGCTTAGAGAGGTGAAGTGAAGTGGTATATAAGTCTAAGTGCTATTGCTAAAGTGGGGTACAAGATCTAACTTCACTCACACACACACAGATGAGGTCTGCATTGAGTTTAATTAACTAAAGCAGTGGTTCTCAATCTGTCTCATTATGTATTCATTGATTTATTTGTATACATAGTCTTTAGACACTAGCTGTAAAACAGATTCCTTGCTAGAAATTATTAGAAAAGGTACTAGAAATAAAACTATCAGCACTGCAATATTTTTAAAACAACCCATAGGATGTCTGGAATACATGTGCATAGTTCTGGTTACTTGGGGCTTTTAGCTATGAACAAAGATGACTAGGGAATGTATCTCCTTAACAAAGGAGTATCAAATGATAAATGGCATGTAGAACATTGTTGTTGTTAATTGTGAAGTCGTGTCCGACCCATCGCGACCCTATGGACAATGTTCCTCCAGGTCCTCTTGTACTCCACCATCTTCCAGAGTCCATCCAAGCTCACGCCCACTGCTTCAGTAACTCCATCCAGCCACCTCATTCTCCGTCATCCCCTTCCTCTATTCCCCTCAATCCCAGCATTAGGCCCTTCTCCAGTGAGTCCTTCCTTCTCATTAGGTGGCCAAAGTATTTGAGCTTCAACTTCAGGATCTGGCCTTCTAAAGAGCACTCGGGATTGATCCTTCTAGGACTGACTGGTTTGAATGCCTTGCAGTCCAAGGGACTTGCATGAGTCTTCTCCAGGACCATAGTTCAAAGGCCTCAACTCTTTTGCGCTCAGCCTTTCTTATGGTCCAACTTTCACATCCATACATTGCAACTGGAAAAATCATGGCCTTGACTATACGCACTTTTGTTGGCAGGGTGATGTCTCTGCTTTTTAGTATGCTGTCTAGATTTGCCATAGCTTTCCTCCCCAGGGGCAAGCGTCTTTTAATTTCTTGGCTGCAGTCCCCATCTGCATCTTGGAGCCCAGGAAAATAAAATCTGTGACTACCTCCATTTCTTCCCCATCTATTTGTCAGGAATTGAGAGGGCCGGATGCCATGATTTTGGTTTTCTTACTGTTGAGTTTCAAGCCAACTTTTGCACTCTCCTTCTTCACCCACATCAAGAGGCTCTTTAGTTCCTCTTCACTTTCTGCCATTAGAGTGGTATCATCTGCATATTTTAGGTTGTTGTTATTTCTCCCGGCAATCTTAATTCCAACTTTTGATTCATCAGAACATGGATATGTTTTATACCTCAGTCAAAATATTAGGACAGCTGGCCTTTCCTCTTGGGTTTTACGGAGAATGTCAAGTGATCCTTATAATGCCACTGAGAAAAGGTCATGTATCTACAGTACTGTTTTGGATGCTTGCAACATATCATTTTTAAAAATGGGAATTAAAGCTGCTCTAAACCACCTTGAACTCCTGGAAGAAAGGTGAAATATATGTCCAACACCAAGGATTAAAGTTTCAGAACTTTAACTGAATAGAGATAAGCTTAATTCCTGAAATCTCCAGACTCAGAGTGATACTAAAGAGTGGACAATTGTACAAATAATGAAAATTGATCTGACACAGACATCATATATTACCTTTACTACTGCAGTGAACAATTGCAACACCTGTAACAACACTATGCTCTTTGCCACTTAACCTATTAAAAAGAATAGAAAATTAGTGTGCCGTCATTTTGAAATAAAGATTAATTTCCTTTAAAGTAACAACTCCGTGTGATGAAGAGATGTTCTGTCATTTATGAATAATACAGCATAGCATTATCCACCACATATAAGAATTTGGTAATGCATTCTCACATATTATGGTATAAAGTTTCTTTCTCTGTACATACATACATACATGTATATGTATATATGTATAAATGACATTGTGCAGAACAATATGGTACAACACAGTATCTGCAGTACTGGCCTAAAGATATTTACTCATGTAGTAGGGTTGTATTGCTATTATCCTTCTCATCTTTCTCATCTTCTTCTTTCTCATCTTTTCTCATCTTCTCATCTTTCTTACTACCTTTTCCTATTGCTACATTATGATTTATCACTTGTTGTTTGTATTTTATCATTAATGATTGTAGCTATGATTTACGATCTATGACCTATCACTTGTAGTTTGTATGTACACTGAGAGCTTATGCACCAGAGACAAATTCCTTGTGTGTCCAATCACACTTGGCCAATAAAGTATTCTATCATCCATCCATCATCTAGACTGCTAAATTATGGTCTAAATCAGTATTTTCAATCTTGCAACTTAAAATGTGTGGACTTCAACTCCCCAGCATGCCAGCTGGGGAATTCTAGGACTTGAGTTCCACACATGTTAATATTGATGAAATTGAGAAATGCTGATCTAAGTAATGCAATATTTTCAGACTAATGAACATTTACAACAAAAAAAGGATTCAATTCTTAAAATTGATGTAGCACATTGGTATAATAGCATAAAGTCTTTGAAATCCAGTACAATTCTGTCAATAATACACTGAATATCTAAAATGAAAATTAAAAAATGTAACAAATAGAAATACATAAGTAAAAAAATGCCACATAAGACATTAGATACCAAACCCTAGTGTACTATCCTACAGTTTAGATTTCTCTCATACTAATAATATTTTAACAAAAAAAATGGGGTTTTTCGTATCGTATCTATAAAAGTCTGGTGTAAAAATAATACACTGCAAATGTCCAGGCCTAGATAAAAGCATTATTTGCATTAAAGTTTAATTTTAAAGCATATACCTAGAAAGCATCTTATATGCATCCTGCTTGTCCACTGGTTTCTCCAAAATTTGTTCTTCTATAGTCTGAAATGGAAATGTACATATATTACTACATATATCTTATTAGGCTAAAAATATTATGAAACTCCAGGAATAAGAGTTTCAAAATTTGCACAACCATTAGATTATAAATAAAATTTGGAATAGTCTTCCTATACTTTTTATGTTGAAATAAATTATGTATCCAGTACTTGTTACAAAGAAGATAGAAACAATGTGTATTTTGAGTAGTTAATGGTAAGTATCTCTTAAAGTATATCAAAATAATTTCCTTTGTAGCCAAAGCTCAAATAATACATAATTTATATATTAAAACATTTTTCCTTTAGTTTTATGATATCCCTAACATGTATACTGATTTTACAGTTCTTCATACAATTTTATCTATACAACTGAATAATGCTTGACAGAAACTATTAATTAAAAATCCTCTTTCTGAATGTGTTTTGCAAGCAGAACAACTGCTCAGAGACATTTGCCTTTCTACAAAGATATGAACATGAAAACTAAAATAGTCATAAACAAAATACTAAAAAAAGAAGCATATCAAAGTGAATAAAATGAAGCATGTTAAGAAAAGCCATAGAAATACTATTTACAGGAATTAACCTGACACCAAGTTGAATTATTGGTCCACCTAGTACTGACATTAGCAGCAGCAGTAGCAGCAAAAAAGGGGTTTTACCCCATTCTGACTTGGCCTTTTGCAAATACAAATGAGTGTTTTTTCTTTTAGATAAGGTGTAGGCAAACCTTTAAAAAAAGCTTTGTGGTGGAATTTTCTGAATGAAAACAGTATGAAGAAATCAAAGGACATACTGATTTCATCACATTTTTGATCACTATCATAATATCTCTGCTAGTATATATTGCATATATGCCTCTTATTCTCAACAATGGTACATTTCAGTGCAAATGAATGACTAAAACATCATAAGAGAAGTGTAAACATTTTTTCTTATAAAAAAGTCTGCTAGTATAAAAACTGTCTGTTTCCAAGGAAAGTGAGAAACCACACAGGAAAAAGACTGCCAAGTTTAACTGTTCACAAAACATTTATTTTACAAAATATGAAACTGCATTGTTTGATCTTTCTTCCACTTTGCTCATGCCTTTTTCATTCAGGAGCCACTGGGAAGCGTTCTTTCCACATTTGTCTAAACTGGCCTTCAAAATTATTTCAGTTGCCTTACCAGCTCCTTTCATCCTCACATTGTGTTTATGTAAAATGGTTACCGTATATGCCGGCGTACAAGGCGACCCGGCGTATAAGACAACCCTCGTCTTTGTCGCCGAGTCGCATTCCTAGAACGTCGTCTTATACACCGGAAACTACCAGTATTTCTGGCGTATAAGACGACTCGGGGTATAAGACGAACCCCGTCTTTGGCGCCGATTTTAACGCTTGCGGAGGTCGCCTTATACGGTACCCATTTCCCTTGCTAGAATAAAGCTGTTATAATTGAATTTAAAAAAAACTCAATATTGGATAGACAAAATTGACATTTTTAATTTCTATTATGTGTGCTCATCAAGGAATACTACAGACCTACACAACTATTACTAAATAGTTGTCAGCATATTATACTCACCACTATAGTGTCTGCTCCGATAACAATATCTGGAGTTTGAAGATGTTTCTGAAAGAAAAAAGAAAGAAAACATAAAGGGTCTGTGTATTTTATTCAATTTTCTCCATGACAGCATATAAATGCGCCTATAAACCTGAATGCTATCAGATAACAAATTAAACAGAAAAAGCAACCTTAATATAATAAAAGTAATCTTCAGTTCATTCAAGTGCAGACATTAATAGAAGATCAAATGTAAGAGGGTGGAATACTTGTAAGCTGGTTGGGTATTTGGTGTTAGGTGGAAGGTGGGATACGGGGGAAGAACTAGCATATTTTCTGTAATTTTTGAAGTGCCAATGGCACATACTGTCTTCTGAAATTTTCTCAGAAGAAATGTGGACATACAGAACTCTTTGTCTCACACTATTACAATTCAAGATCATCCACTGAAGCACTACATGGGGAAATTCATATAGTGAATAGGGAAGACATCTATGCACAGCACATAATTAAATTATGCAATTTTCTGCCATCTGATGATGACTACTATTTGGATATTTTAAAAGGGTATTCATTAATTCATGGACAATAGGTGAAATACTAAACATTAATCCCAGAAACAAAGATAGTAAGTCTTAATCAATAAAAAACTCCAATGGAAAAGAACTATCATCCTCTGGTCATGCTTATGATATGTGGGAAGAATCCAGAGAAAGAAATATTTTGGGAAACATTAAAAACCCACCACTCCCTGATCCATGTGGTCAGCTTTCCCAGAGCCACGCTTCTGTCTGGTTCTGCTCTTCAATAAACTCCAACCTTCTTCTAAAGCAGTCTCCATGTTGTTTATTCCCAGCTTGGACTAGACTCTGATGAAGATTTTTCTTTTTATAGTTTGGTACCCAGGATGGGACTCCAAACTAACCTGACTAATGGACTGGGACTGATAAGCCCCATCTTGCCGGCAGCAGACCACTTGTGTCTATGGATGGGTTTCCCAGGCCCTGCCCATGTGGAGCGAGGGTAGTAAAGGGAGGTTTGAGTTTGAGCTCAAGGGCTGCTTTGGAAAGAAGGTGAGTACCTTTAAAATTTAATTTTAAAGCCCAGGGGAGTGAAGGAAATGTGTGTATGTCTCTGTGTGTGAGTGAATGAGAAGACCCTTTTCCCAATCACAGTTGGGTTTTGCTCCCTCTGGCCTTTCCTAACTACAGAAAAGATCTGTTCAACCAACAGACTCTGGAAAGCATAGAGGTTTGGCCAGAGCGCAGGACCTTTTGTTAGGGAAAAGGGAGAGGCTCTGTGAAAATGGAATGGAAAAGTGAATGAGAGACTCAGAATCAGCTGATAAGGCCCTGTAAGCAAAGGGGTCTGGGAAGGAGATGCTCATCTTTGCTGCTTGGAAAAAGCAGTCAGGTCCTTCCAGACTCCTCTGAGTCCAAAACAGTAACAGTAAAAGTATAATCAGCAAACATGTAAACAGGAAACGATGTTCAGGAAAAGTTGTGAAGAAAAGTGTACTTGTGAGTAGTTGTGAAAAGCCGGAGGAAGGAGGTGCCCATACCTGCTGGATGGGGACAGCAGTTTCTCTCAGACCTTTTTTTGGTCTGCAAACTGAAAGGCAGTGTTCCCATTAAAGGAGGGGCCCTTACTCTGCGTTGGGAACTAGAGTCCTCACGGACATCTTTTTTTTGTCCGAAAACTGATATGCAGTGCAGTAGGGATTTTGCCGCGAGGGAGACCCAGCTAGAGCCCATTAAATCCACATCTGAAGGGGGATACGGGAAGCTGTAGCTCAGAGGTTGTGCCTAGAACCCTTCTAAGTGAGTTATTGATGGCATGGGACGAGAGGCGATTGCCCATCCTAGCCGGTATGAAGAAAAAATGATAAAGGGAAATTTGTGAAGAATGGGCTTTGCTGAGGGCTTTGCTGGGAAACCAATTTGGCTAAATAAAGGTACTTAAAAAGAAAAGGAAAATAAAATATAGGAATAGTGATTTCTCTCTCTCTTTTTTAAAAAAATATGTTTTATTGATTTTTTTAACATAGTCACTTTAATATTTGGTAAACAGTGTGTTGTCTGGGTTTACATTTAAAAAACATACACTAACAGTTGGTTTCTATAATCTATAATCCACATAATAGTTTTACTTGATTTCCTCTTTTTCCCATGTTTTCTTTTACCAACCTTAAGCTAATACAATTCTTGTTGTTTTGGTAGGTAACAATTGAATATAATTTTTTTCTAATATTTCTACAGATAATCACATCAATATAATATTTCTTTTCTATCTGGTCATTCTGGTTGCCTCATCATAGATCCTGTTCACAGTTCTTGTTTACATCTGTTTTTCCCACAATGTTCAAAACATTCTTACTGATTAAGATTTTCTCAAATTTAATTACATTTAAGTATTTAAGTCTATTTTTTCTCATGTAAGCCATCTCACTACTTTTACCTTTCTTAAGGAATAAATAAGACGAAAAAAAGAAAAAAAGAAGAGTAAAGAAAAATAAAAGGATAGTATGCTACCTAAAATCCATGTTTCCTATAAGCTAATACATATTTATTTCCAATTTTTTTCTGTTCTTTTTTACCATAATTAAAAATATATTTAATCTTTAAATATTCCATTTAATAAATCTAGTCATCTAGTCATTTAATTCTTATTCAAAACATTTTTAATCCATTTTCTTAAATTTTCTTAAAGCCAATCACATTTAAATATCTAAAACATTTCCTTTATATAAGCCATTCCAACTCTTTTATATTACTCATATCAAGAAATAAAATAAGAAGAGAGAAAAAGAGAATACTATGTTACTTGAGGGGCTCTTCCCTCTTAAAATAAAATTCATATCCAAAATCTTTCTATTTCTTTAATCATATTCAAACAGGTGTTTCTTTTTTAAATATTCTCTCTGATAGGTCCCATCGTCTATTTTCTTAATTTTCACTTTAGCCTTTTTCTTTTGCCCAATACCTTTCTTAATCAATATGTTCTGCTGAATCAAATAATCTTTCCATATTCTTGTGTTATTGTAGACATAAAAGGTAAGTCAAGTACAATATCTTTGTAAGAGGCATTTGCCCATTCATGTTTGTTGAAAATCTTATTCTTTCTTTTTCTCTCTGTTTCTCTTATCATTTTTTGTCTCTTCAGTTCTAGTAGTTTTCCTGACATCTCTGCAGTCCATTTTGTCCAATCTTTTTTTCTTATTCTCAAATTTGTTTTGTGGTGTTAAAGTATAAGTTGTCTTTTCCAAATCCAGTATTTCCTGTAAAAAAATTTTCCACTTGGGTTAAATCATACTTCTTTGTTTTGTTAGGTTCCATCTTTAAGTCTCTATCCTCGAATTTGTATTCAGTTATCTGTTTTATCTGTTCCTTCTCTATTGTTGTTTTCTGGGATTTTTTTGTTTTAAAGTTAAATTGAAGATGAGTTGGTTTATATTTTCACAGTTATTATGGATTTCTTTGTGGTTTGAAATCATTGATGTTTGTATTAGTTGAAGCATATCATGTCTCCTCTTGAAAAGTATTTATTTTTTCTTGATAGGTTCTTTCTATAAATCTCTGATTTTTCATGATGACCAAGAATCCAAATTTTCTTTTCTCTGCAAATAGCTTTGGGGTCAGAGTTAAATAGATACTTGTAATCCAGAAAGTTCAAAAAAGTTTGGGTTTGTTTTTTTGGGGGGGTTCCCTAAAGTTTATAAGTCTCACTTTGTCTGCAACCCAAATTGTTTTCTTTTTTGTCACAGCTGTTCTCTGTTGTTAAGAGCTTTGAACGTCACAAGCACAGATTAGTTTTTCCAGATTTTGCCAAGTCCTATATGAAAGCCATAGTTGTCATAGTCTCCATCCACCACTAGATGTCAGCATCGATTTATTTTTCAAAATTGCCTTTAAAATGAGAATCTTAACCATTCAGCAATTTCAAACTTATCCAAATTTAGGTTTTATAGTCATTTCATTTCAATATATTTTGTTCCTCCATAAAAGGTTTAATTTGCCACTTCTGTTAGTAAAAGGGTGGGGCACACTGGCTAACCTCAATTGGATGCACTGAACTAAGAGCTAAGGCAGAAAACAGCCCTTGAAAATGGGCAGCCAGTGGTTATGTACTGAGGAAAACATGGCTGTGAAGAATTTTGGGAGGAATGTGCAAACCTGACTGGAAGCTCAAAGTGACATCCAACATCTGAAAAGAATTGGCACAGAATATTGGACACTATAAATTTCTTTTCCATCTAACAGACCTTTTGCCCTGACTTTTAGAACTTTATGGGTTGGAAGCTCCCCGTTTGGGAGCTACTGCAGGTATCTTTTTCTGCTGCCTCTATTAGTGTCTTCCTTTTTTTTTTTTTTTTTTTTTGCATTAACAGTTTAAACGCTTGTTTACCAAGTTTCCCTGACCAGATAAATTTTAATCTTGTGCCAGTAGAAGTGTGTCATCCACACTCTTATGGCACAAAGGAGGGATTGTGGGAAGAATCCAGAGAAAGAAATATTTTGGGAAACATTAAAAAGGCAGAATATATTTATCCAAAGGAATAATGGAGAAGATCTTAAAGGCAGAAAAGCAAGCCCAGTTTTCTTAATAGCCCCAAGCAGAAACTAGGCAGAGGTCAGCTTTTAGAAATGCAAATTTAATGATCCATTCAGGAAGGTTGGGGCCAGGAAGCTAGCAGCTGAGATTAGGAAGACAAAGAAATCTAGAATCTACATACCCCACCCAAACTCTAAAAGACATGATTAACCCACCAATACCAAAAGGGCACACTCAGACTCAGGTCAAAGTACATGACACAGGAAATACAAAGCCTCAGGAACAAGAAACAACCCTCAAGAGCCCCACCACTCCCTGCTACATGTGGCCAGTTTTTCTCAGAGCCATCTTTCTGTCTGGCTCTGCTCGTCAATAAACTCCAAACTTCTTTCTAAAGCAGTCTCTACTTTGTTTATTCCCAGCTTAGACTGGATCCTGATGAAGATTTTTCTTTCTACAGATATTTCTGAATTAATTTGATGAGCTACTACGTGACAATGAACATTGAGCATTTAATGCTGGTTTGGCCTCATCCTGCCTCAATATCTTAAACTCTTATATGTATTTGAGTTCAATTTTTTTCTATAGTAAGTCAAATGATTCATCCATTGGTTCTGTATTTTATGTTTAACAGGCTACCAAATATACATTTTGCACAAATAATAATAGTGATAGTAAACAATATCCTCTTTAGCTATAAACATTCAATTTTCATATGGACAATATCAAGCACATGATAAGTTGATGATAGACCCATTATTTCACCCATTGACTTTCTACTAAAGGGGGTAGTATTTTTCCTGTTATTTGAGGCCAAAAGAAAGATATGAGAAAAAAAATGTTAGTAAATCAATGCAAGAAACAAACCAGACCCATCAATAAAATAAACAAATAACTTTAATATGGAATTAGGCTCACCACATGCATTCTATTTGCCACTTCAAGTGCCTTCTGTTTTGCAGTTTCTACAGCATATTGATATGGGGCTAAAAAGGTTGACTTCTCAAGTGTTTCTTTGAACCATGACGGAACAACTTCAAAACGGAGACCCTGTTAACAGAAGAATACATGAAACAAGGGGGAAAATCATGCAAGATTTATATTTTATAGGCTGCAACTTTAATTGACCTTGTTCTAAAGTGGATGGTGTTAAGTAGTCTTTAATCAACAAGGTTGATTAAAAACTACTTAATACCATCCTCTTCAGAACTGCAGACTGCAGTCTAGAATATCTAGCATCACAAATGCAACAGGAAAATATAGTACAGTAGCTTTTCCCATTTCACTTTTCTACTTTACTAGCAGAACTTAACTATTATCTCTCAGAAAGTAAGGGCTGCCTGAACTGAAAGACTTGAGTGAAGTACAGTAGTAACAAAATGTTCCTTATCATATTATGATAAAGCCTTCTTCTTGCTACACTTGAATGATATCTTAAATACATTATTAATAAAGTAAAAGTTTAAGGTTTTAGATGCAAACTGTTTCACTAATTCTCACAAATTTCATATAGAAGATATTGGAGGAATAAACAATTCGCTAGCTAGAATCCTGAACTATACGTTAGTTGCTTGTCTCCTTTGAATTTAGCTGCCCTTCAATTACAAGCACAAGAATTCTTATCCACCTTATGAATTCACAGATTTCTTAACCACTTAATAACTCAGCCTCCTGAGTGAAATATAAGCAGCAAAAGAAAATTTTAAGGAAAAATTAGAATATATAACACTAATATGATTATTAGGCTACAATTCTTCATTAGTAAGATAACTAAAGCAAAGAGTGTGGGAAGAAAAGGTGGACCGTTTCTATACTATATAATCTTTATAAATTCATCTTATAAAGATGAACCATATCTAAACCATGTAATCTTTATAAATCCATCTTATAACCTATCTTATATAAAGGAGAGCTGTCAACTTACCATGGCAAAAAAACTGAGAAGGAGTCTGATAGCACCTTCTTCAGCTAACAAATTGTATTACAATATATAAGCTATCGCTCACAAAAGCTTATGTATTTTAATAAATTTGTTAATCAGAATAAGTGTTACTACTAGACTTCTTAAAATGGAATCGAACACTACATCACCAGTTGTCACATTAAGTTTCATTACTTGCTGAGATTACTTCAGTTTGGACATAGGCTTCTCCTGAAAGCTATGAAGATAATCCCACAATATTTCATCCTCAGTTTTTAAAAATATAAAACTTTTTTTTAATAAACAGCAAAAGGGTGATTAGAACATTGATTATGGACAGTTACAAATAGACTAAAGGTCAGGTAGATTTGAAGTAAGATTTTGAAATTAATTATAAGAAACTTTCCCACTTTCTGGTGGGAAAATAGACATTCTGAATTCTATAAAAAAGGGTAATAGGATGGTACTTTGAAGGCTGGTTGCTAGAAGGAATTGCGAAATTCAAGATTATAATTAAAGGAGAAGAATACTTAAGTTTGACTTACTAATATAGAATGGATCGAAATACTGTAATAGCAGAGGTTTGGAAGGGTATTTGTGAGCAATGGACATAGGATACTCAAATAACAAACCAAATCTGGATAGCTTTTCTATATTGGATTTATAAAAGAATCTTGTTAAACTTTTGAAGGATTTTGTAAAAAGAGACAAAGAAAAAAATGAAATCGAGTAAGGCTTAACAGAGGCAGAAGAGATTAAGAAGAGGTGGCAAAATTACACAGAACTATACAAGAACAAGCTTAGCGTCCCTGATAACCATGATCCTAGAATGTGAAGTGAAATGGGCCTTAGGAAAGCTGAGCAACAACAAAGCTAGTTGAGGTGACATTATTCCAGCTGAGCTATTCAAAATCTTAAAAGACGATGCAGTAAAAGTGCTACACTCAATTTGCCAGCAAATTTGGAAAACTCAACAGTGGCCACAGGATTGGAAAAGATCAGTTTACATTCCAATCCCAAGGAAAGGCAATGCCAAAGAATGTTCAAACTATCGCACCATTGCACTCATTTCACATGCTAGTAAAATTATGCTTCAAATCCTACAAGCTAGACTCCAGCAGTATGTGGATCGAGAACTACCAGAAGTATAGGCAGGATTTTGAAGAGGCAGAGGAACTAGAGATCAAATTGGCAACATACATTGGATCTTGGAGAAAGCTAGAAAGTTCCAGAAAAACATCTACTTCTGCTTCATTGACTATGCTAAAGCCTTTGATTGTGTGGATCACAACAAATTGTGGCAAGTTCTTAAAGAGATGGGAGTACCAGACCATCTTATTTGTCTCTTGAGAAACCTATATGCAGGTCAAGAAGCAACAATGAGAACTGGACACGGAACCACTGATTGGTTCAAAATTGGGAAAGGAATCCGGCAAGGCTGTATTCTGTCGCCCTGCCTATTTAACTTATATGAAGAGCACATCATGAGAAAGGCAGGGCTAGATGAATCAAAAGTGGGAATTAAGATTGCCGGGAGAAATATCAACAACCTAAGATATGCAGATGATACCACTCTAATGGCAGAAAGTGAAGAGAAACTAAAGAGCCTCTTGATGCAGGTGAAGGAGAGTGCAAAAGTTGGCTTGAAACTCAACATTAAGAAAACCAAAATCATGGCATCCGGCCCTCTCAATTCCTGGCAAATAGATGGGGAAGAAATGGAGATAGTGACAGATTTTATTTTCCTGGGCTTCAATATCACCACAGATGGGGATGCAGCCAAGAAATTAAAAGATACTTGCTCCTGGAGAGGAAAGCTATGGCAAATTTAGACAGCATACTCGAAAGCAGACATCACCCTGACAACAAAAGTACGTATAGTCAAGGCCATGGTTTTCCCAGTTGCAATGTATGGCTGTGAAAGTTAGACCATATGAAAGGCTGAGCGCAAAAGAATTGAGGCCTTTGAACTATGGTGCTGGAGAAGACTCATGTGAGTCCCCTGGATTGCAAGGCAATCAAACCAGTCAGTCCTAGAGGAGGTCAACCCTGACTGCTCTTTAGAAGGCCAGATCCTGAAGTTGAAATTTAAGTACTTTGGCCACCTAATGAGAAGGAAGGATTCACTGGAGAAGAGCCTAATGCTGGGAAAGATTGAGGGTAATTGAAGGAGACAACAGAGAATGAGGTGGCTGGATGGAGTCACTGAAGCAGTAGGTGTGAGCTTAAATGGACTTCAGACGATGATAGAGGACAGGAAGACCTGGAGGAACGTTGTCCATGGGGTCGCGATGGGTCAGACACAACTTCACAACTAACAACAACAAAAACAAGGAATATGATTTGGCTTATTTAACTAAGGTTAAAATGTAGTTAAATCTGTTTAAGTCTTAATGAACTTTTTTTGGTACTTTTTCACTTATTTTTTAAGCACTTGTTATGTATTTTTTATAATGTACATATTTTTGAATGTTGTTCCTTTTGTTGTTTGCTTTTTCTATTATTACTTTAAAAGAAATAAAATTTATAAAAAAGGAGATGGGAAAAAGAGATTATTTGTTGTATTTTAAGAGAAGTGGTAAGTTACTAAAATTGTTTATACTTGTTATGAAATTCATTTCTTTATATACTTTTCTTTTTGTCTACTATATTCTTATTTTTTCTTTCTTTTCTGTCATTTTTGTACAATTTCTGAATATTTTTCTTGTAGCTTAATTTGTATTTATTCTTACTGCTTATTAAAAATCTTTACTACAACTATTACAAAAAAAATGTAACACTAAGACTGTGAATACATATACTAAGTCTGAACAATGTTCTTCCAGTCCATCTTAATAAGTTTAAGAAACTGACTCGAATTTCACATCAGACTGAATTTCATATAACACTTATGCTTCTGTCCTGTTCAATCTATTTTTAAATTTAGCTAAATGAATATATTTACATTATCTTTTAAATCTTTTATTTGTAAATCAAGAGTTATCTGGACAGTGAGAGAGTGGTACTTAAATACAATAAATATTAGTTCAAAAGCCTATTTGTTGTAATTTTTAAGGTATTATGTTACAATAATAGTTAGTAGTTATTTCTAATCATTCCATTTGTTTGTGCTTTTCTATGCTGAGGCAATGGCTGTGGTACATAGTAACATGAGGATTTTATGTTATCCATAACAGTTAATTACTGTGATGGTTTATATCCAGTATTATTAAACATTTTAGGGCAGAAGATAGCTACTCAGTCTGACTCTAAATTTACCATACTTGATTAATTTGGTACTGAACTTTATCGTTGATTAGCAAGTATGCCATATCAGAATACAGAATACAAAACACAGAACATTAATAACCATACGCATGACTAGTTTCAGAATCTGTTTCATCATGTGTAACAGTAGCAGTGCAGATGCCACTGTGACTTTTTTTTCTTGAATCATTCTTAAATATGATAAATAAGCTGATTTGATGGGATATATTCCTTTGTGCATGTCACAAAGGTACAGGTAGTCCTCAATTTACAACAGTTCATTTAGTGACTGTTCAAAGTTACAATAGCACTGAAAAAAGTGACTTATAACCATTTTTCACACTTATGACCACTGTAGTATCCCCATGGTCACATGATCAAAATTCAGACTCTTGGCAATTGATTCATATTTATGCAGTGTACCTGGGTCACATGATCACCTTTTGCAACCTTCTGACAAGCAAACTCAATGGGAAAAGCAGATTCACTTAACAACCATGTTACTAACTTAACCGTATTGATTCACTTAACAAGTGTGGCAAGAAAGGTCATAATATTGGGCAAAATTCACTTAACAAATGTCTCATTTAGCAGCATAAATTGTGGTCATTAGTCAAGGACTACCTATATTGCAAATCATGCATTAAGGCATTACAATGTGCACATTCTCAAAATCAGATCAAGAGTTAATCTATTGCAATATTCTGTTTCCAAATCTTTTTGGAAAACCTACAGACTGGAGATAAATTTAATACAGTACACTTCTGATTACTGTATGCCAAAGGAGGGTCCCTCAGATCTGAGAGGTGCCCCATATTTATGGGGACAGCAGGTGGGAGCATTATCCTCCATTAATTTTTTACATCCTGTTATATTGATGTCTACAGCTATATCTGATGAATTCCATATGAAGCAATCATGTATGTGTATGCTCTTCTTTTCACAGATGTGCTGTATATGGATACAATTACTTAGAATAAAGTGTTCCTGACTCTGATCTTCCATGTGATAAGCTTTCTCAACTTTTTCACCGTGTACTACTCTTGTAGTTGTTAAAAATCTAACAACTCTGCCTAGATCTGGGTTTTTTTTTTTTTTGGAAATGCAAGGAATTCTTCGAAGCACACCAACCCCGCACAGGGCCGTTTAAACTAGTCAGCGCACTCACCGCGTTAGTTAAGATCTCCTGCCTGCGCGGAGAGCTGCTTGCCAGTACTACTCTTTTGTCGACCAGTTTTTTAATGACCGGGTTGAGCACCATGCCTGCAGCCGTTGTGAAAGCGACTTCGCAAAAAGACGAGGAGCTAGAAACAGCCCAACGGACAACCGACCAGATCCGCGGAAGGGCTGAGTCCAAAGAAGACGTTCCTCCTTCCTCTCGCCTTCTGCGCTCTGATTCGCCAACGTGAGCAGCTCCTATATAGCAGGGGTGGGAATTCTGGGAGTTGAAGTCTCCAAGTCACGAAGGGGCCAGAGTCCCCCAATTTCTGTGCTAGGAAGGGTGGTGGAAGGGCTTTTTTCTTTCTCGGTTCGGGTCGTTTTTCACCCCGAGGAAGAATATCAGTTGAGAATTGCTGAGGAAAATGCTCTTGAAATCCTTGCCCAAGCAAACTTACACGCCTATTCAGATCCCTCCTCAAAAGAATTCAAAGATTGCAGCACATGTGTCCTTAGTTGAAAGGACACTTGGCAGTTTCGTAGAACTAAGGTGACCAACTTTTTTACAATGAAAAGGAGGACACAAATAAATTGAAGAAAAAAATATCGTAAATAAAAGAAACATTTTATTCATTCCAACAATAATACATATAACTTGCATGTGCAAAGTTTGCCGACTGGGTGTTTTGGCATGCTCAGCAGCAATTCCTATTGGCTTTCAAAAGCCAATAGTGGGAGTAGCACAGCACATGCAAAAGTTGAAAAAAAAAAACATCAAAAAATGGTGCTGGAAGCCATTCTAAGCGTTCTATGAGAAAAAAAGCCCTGCAGATTAGTCTTCAACTATGAAAAAGGAGGACATGTAGGAGGACACTTTTCGAGGGAGGACAGAACTTACAAAAGGAGGACTGTCCTCCCTAAAGGAGGACGGTTGGTCACCTTAGCAATGGTTCTCAACTTGTTGGTTGGGACCCCATTTGGGGTTGAAAGACCATTTCACGGGGGTCGGCAAACAACGCAGTCTGCCATTTTTTCCCCCTTTTCCTTAGCTGTGCTACTCCCTTTTATTCTATTGGCTTTTGAAAGCCGATAGAATAGACTCTCTTGAATAGAGTCTAATTCTATTGGCTTTCAAAAGCCAATAGGAATTGTCCAGGCTGTCTCTGCCCTGCTGAGCCGACCAAAAGTCCCAGTCTGCAAATGGTGCTGCACCAGTTGAGTAGTCTTCGACTTACGACCGGTTGAGTGGTCCTCAACTTACGACTGGTTGGGGGTTGCAGCATTAAAAAGGTTGAGAACCACTGCCTTAGTAGAACTGAACTACATTATATTCTGCCTCTGTTGATATAGTGGGCTAAAGTATGGGATGCAGCTAACAAACCTGCAATTACAAAAGCTCTCTTAGAAGGTTCAAGTTACTATTTAACTTAGCTTCAAAATCTGAATGGTTTCTTTATCATCTCTAACTGGGGAATGGGTATCTGGATTTTTGCAGCAGGGATCTGAAGCCTCACAATTGACATGCTCTGGGTTTGTGCAAAACCTTGAGCCTTAAATTTTCCAGATGGGTACAATTTATATAGCTAAGCTAAAAAAAATAACAATTGTTCTCTAACGAAGATCAGCACTTGCAAAGCTTGTAACCAGCTTGGCTAGGTATGTTGTTTAGACATATTATTATATCTTGACCTCTTGAGCCATATTTGCTTATTTTGGCATGGATGAACATGGCATTTTGGAGGTTTAACCATAATTCATGGTGTAGAACGTGTTCCTAACCCCCGGTCTGTGGACTGGCACTGAGCTGCAACATGCCAGAAAATAGTTTGCACAAAGCCCCATCCATGAGATGCAAGCAGCACACAAAACCACACACCCTCTGGTCCACAGAAAAAACGTCTGTCCATGGAACCGGTCCCTGGTGCCCAAAAGGTTGGGACCTCTGGTGTAGAATGTATGAATAGCTATATTTCAAGAAAACAAAGTCTCAAATTGATGTAAATCTGTAATTGTGGTACTGTATAAAATGACTGTTTTACAGTATAGTGCTCTTTAATTTATCAACTGTTCAAAGTCCCAGAGGCACTGACTTCAATTGATCCTCCCACTTAAAACTCTCACAGCATTCACACTCTTGGCAACTGGTATACATTTACAATGATTGCAACATCCCAGGGTCATTTATTCACCATTTATGGTCTTCCCAGCCAGTTTCTAACAAGCAAGTCAATGAGGGAAGCCAGATTCACTTAACAACCACATGACCTACTTAACTATTGCAGTGATTTTCTTAACAACTGTGGCAAAAAGGTGATAAAATTGGACACTTCTCACTTAACAACCACCTTAATTGCAATGAAAATTCTGGTTCCAATTGTAACTTGAAAACTATCTGTTATGGCACTTTTCTCTCCCTCCCTCCACTTCTGTGGCAGGAGAAGCAGAAGGAGAGAATATTGGGGAGAAGGAATGTGAGTGCCAATTTTCCAATTTAATATGAGGATCTTGTTGAAACAAAAATCTTCATCAGAAATGAAGAAAATCTTATTCCAAGCTGGGAATAAACAAAATGGAGGCTGATTTAGAAAGAAGCTTCTAGTTTATTGAGTTGCAGAACCAGGCAGAAATATAGCTCTGGGGCAGCTGACTACATGGAGCTGGGAGTGGTGGGTTTTTATTCCATCTTGGGCTTTTGTGTTTGGAGTTGTTCCTGTTCCTATGGCATATACTTTGACCTGAGCTTTTGAGTGTGTCCTTTTGGTATTCTGATGGTAGTGGGTTAATCCTATTATGTCCTAAAGGTTATGTCCTGATTCCCTATGGCTGTGGCTATCTCCTGTGTTGGATTTTTGGTTGAGGGGTTGCTAGTTCTAGGGGTCTTTGTGTTTCTAATCCCATCAGCTCCAAGCTTCTTGGCTTCAGTCTTTCTGAAAGAATTATCAAATCTGCATTTCTATAGAACTGGTTTCTGCTTGGGGCAGAGAGACTTGGGGGTGGTCGTTTCTGCCTAATATTTTCTTCATTATTCCTTTGGGGAAATATAATATTCTGTCTTTTCAGAAAGAGAAGCAATGGATTATTAATTTGGAAGATGAGAAATGAGAGAATCAAGGGGAGGAGACTATAAAAAGGGGAATCGCTCAAAGATACTATGAAAAATTATATAAGAGAAATGAGGGGGGAAATGTAAGAAGGATAATAGAATACTTAGGGAAGGTAGACATACCAAAGATTCCGGAGAAAATAAAATCTATGTTAAATGAAGAAATAAGAATGGCTGAAATAATCAGGGCTATAAATAAACAAAAGATCAATAAGGCGACTGGTCCAGATGGAATACCTGCGGAACTATATAACGAACAACAAAGTGCACTCAATAAATACCTACAAGAAGTTTTCAATGCAGTATTAATTGATGCTAAAATACCTAAGTCCTGGTCGGAGGCAAATATAATATTGATTCCAAAAGAAGAAGTGGAAAAAACACGGATACAAAATTATAGACCTATATCATTATTGAATTCTGATTATAAAATTTTTGCCTCAATAATGGCAGAGAGATTCAAAAAATACCTAGTTGATTTCATACAGTTGGATCAAAATGGGTTTTTATCAAACAGGCAGACTAAGCGGAATATAAGAATAATTTTAGACATCCTTGAATTTTATGAATTGCATAGTGATCGTCAAGTGGCACTTCTGTTCCTTGATACGCAGAAGGCTTTTGACAGTGTTAATTGGTAATTTATGATCCAACAACTAAAATCAATGGATGTTGGGGAAAAATTTTTAAACGTGATAACCGCAATATATTCTGAACAAAAGGCCCAGATCATAATAAATGGAGAGGCCACTGATAAATTCAACATACAGAAAGGCACAAGACAAGGATGTCCTCTCTCACCATTGTTATTCATATATACATTAGAAATTCTTGCTAGAGTACTAAGACAAGAAGAGCAGATTAAAGGACTTAAGATCAAGAAAGAAACATACAAACTTCAAGCTTATACAGACAACTTAGCATTTATATTAGAAGACCCAGAACAATCAGGCCAGAAATTATTCAAAATATTGGAAGAGTATGGGGATCTGGCAGGTTTGAAAATAAATAGAAACAAAACAAAGATTATCACAAAAAACATGACTAACGTACAAAAAAGAAATCTTGAGGCAAAATTAGGTATACAAGTAGTTCCCAAATTAAAATATTTAGGGATAGTTATTTCAGCTCGCTGCTCATCAATTAAAGAAGACAATTATGGCAAATTGGTCAAGAATATAAAAGTAGATTTAGATCACTTGAAAAATTTATATCTCTCATTACTCTGGAGAATTGCCACAGTGAAAATGAACATCTTACCTAAAATGATATTCCTGTTTCAGAATATTCCAATTCAATTAGACAAGAAATGTTTCAAGGAGCTGAATAAATTAACCTTAGAATTTATGTGGTCCAGTAAAAAGGCAAGAAGAAAATTAAAGGCACTATAGGATGCCAAAGAGAGGGGAGGTTTAGGTTTCCCAGATTGGGAGCTATATTACCAAGCAGCAGCCGTAACATGGATTAGAGACTGGATAAACTTAGAAAATAAAAGATGTTTACATTTAGAGGGTTATGCCCTCCAGCAGGGCTGGCATGCTCACATATGGATGGGGCAAAGCAGAAACCACCAATATTTTTTAAGACATAAGGTTCGGCAAGAATTAATAAAAAGCTGGAATATAGTTAAACATCAATATTACACAAAGTTCACGGCTTGGCTATCGCCATTGGAGGCAGTCACATACCCCAATTTGTACAGGATAGACAAAGCTATTATATATAAAGACATCTTAACAGAAGAAGGTTATTTAAAACAAAAACAAGAGCTAAAATAACAAGGCATAGACATGGAGTGGTGGTCTTATCTCCAGATACAAGCAAGATACATGAAGGATAAGCAAGAATGGGGAATTAACAGACAAGATACGGGGTTAGATAAAATACTGTTAGGCCCGAAGAAAAAACAAATAAAGAATATTTATAAACACCTGTTGGAACATAAGCTATATGAGGAGCAGGTTAAAGAAACAATGGTGACATGGGCAATAGATCTAGGATATAATATAAATATGGATCAATGGCAGCAAGTATGGGAGCGAAATAACAAAATCACAGTGGCAACATCATATAAAGAAAACCTGTATAAGATGGTTTACAGATGGCATCTCCCTCCGGCCAGATTAGC